GGGTGACTGACTGACTGACTGACGGGGCACTGACTGACGGGGCCCTGACTGATGGGGTCACTGACTGACTGACGGGGTCACTGACTGACAGGGCACTGACTGACGAGGTGGGTGACTGACTGACTGACGGGGGCATTGACTGACCGGGGGTCACCGACTGACCGCCGGGCGGGCGGTCGCACTTACCTGCCCCGCGGGCCGGGCGTCGCGGCGGCTCCTTGGAGGCCCAGGTGGAGGCCCACGTGGAGGCCAGGGCGCTGGTGGAGGCGAAGCCCGGGCGGCCTCGGGAGGGCCGCACGCACATGGGCCCGGCCCGGGCGCGGCGCCTACAGACACAGGCTCAGCCGGCCGGCGGCTCGGGACCGGCTCGTGGCCGCGGGCGGCGCTCGGATCTCTCCAAAATGGCGTCGGAGGCCGCGCGGGGACGCGCACGGTCGGGGGCGGGGTCTCCGCGTGGGGCGCGCACGCCGCGGCCGGGGGCGGGGGCGGGGCGGGCCCGCGGCGCTGCGGGAGGCTGGGTCGGCCGGGCTGTCGGCGGCCCTGGAGCGTGGCGGCGAGGGGCGCGTGCTTCACCCTTTTCGCTCTGCGGCACTGGCTAACTTGCACGCCAGCTTGGTTTACGTTCGTTGTGTGATGATGCGTTTCCAAGGCAACGTCGCCCCGGAACCACCCAGCGTCGGGTCGCGCGGAAGGCGGGGCTTCCTGTGGAGGCCGCGGGCGTGCGGGTCCCGGGCCTTCCTCGCCGCCGAGCGTCCCGGCCCGTCCCCCGCAGAGGCCCGCGGGTCCTTGCGCGGCGTTTCCGATTGATCATGTGCCTATTTAACGCGCGTTGGAATTGTTCGTACTAACCCTAAAATGAGAATTACTGTTTCAGGCGTGAGCCGTGGGAAGGTTTTGGGGGAAAACGGAACCCTTGAGGAATATCTCGGCTCTGCGAAAGCGGGTCCGGCCGCCGAGCGCTCCTCCCGGGGGCTGGGCGAGCCGCGGCGGCGGAGGGCGCCCGAGAGGCGTCTCGCGAGAAGGTTCCGGCCCGGCCCGGCGGTGCGGCCGAACGTCTGCGGGAGCCTTGGCCCCCGGGCCGCTCTCCCCCAGTATCCCAAAGGACAGCTTTCTGGCGAGTTCAGCGCATGAACTTCCGGAAGTTGGGAAAAAAGCGCCAGCCTCACACCCGAGAGGAGAGGCCCCGCGTCGCTGGGCTGTCCCGCAGCCTGCGAAGCCGGGCGCCGCTCCTACCCTCTGCCTGCGCTCGGCTCTCTCCCTGTGCTCAGCCCGTGCGCCCGGTCAGCGGGAGCCCGTCACGCCCACGCCGGATCCGTCGGCAGACCTGTTCCTCCACTTGGGTGTGCAGCCGGCTCCCTACTGCCAGCACCTCTCACCTGACTCAGAGGTCTCCCAGCCGGCTCCCCACTTCTGTCCGGGGGTTCCGGCTGCAGCTCGGCGTGCTGTGATCAGCAGAGCACCGAGAGATTTGGTTAAAATAGGTCAGATCACATCCCCTCGGGCCCGGCAGGGACTCCTGTCTCACGGGGTGAAAGCCAAAGTTCTTGCTGTTGCCCACAAGGTCCCACAGGATCCGATCTCATCTCCCTACTCCTCTGTTCATTGGCTCGGATGATGACAGCCTCCTGCCACAGGCCGCTTGCTCAGGTTGCTCTGCAACCTTGCATGCTCTTCCCTTAGCTGTTGCTGTGCTTGCCTCCTAGATCCATTGTCCCCTTCTCAGTGAGGGCTTCCCTGGCCACCCTGTTTCAAATCTCAAGCCTGCATACTCCCATACTCGTAGCCCCCTTTCCTGCTTGGGTTTTTTTCCCTCCTTCACAATTGTATCAGTAGTCACAGTCCACTAAGGGGACAGAAACCACACAGTGGTTTCAACAGGTAAAGTCTGATGTAAATATATTATCAATAACGAGATTGTGATAATTATAAGGAATGAAGATAATTCTATATTCAAGAAGGGGCAAAACTCGGAAAGGGGTCCCCTCCCCAAGGTGGGAGTTCATTCCTTGGTGGAGAACTGTGGCAGCCCAAATGACACAACAGAGACATTTCCTGGGTTGTCCTGGGATAGAGCTGACGCTTAATCACCAAGCAGAGGCCAGTGGGCAGGAATACACCCCTCCAAGTGCAGGTGGACAAAGGCTAGAAAACCTACTACCAAGGTGCCTGCGTCACTGGCTGCAAATCCACCCATGGGGTTGCCACTGAAACTCAGTGGGGAGCTATCCACAGGGGTGACACCAAAACTTGGGAGGAGGAGTACAACTGCATGTCCCCCACACCTGCCACTGGCAGCCCTGCAACAGGAGCAAGAGAAGGAATGCGCACGGAAACCAGAAAGTTCCTTCCTCCTGCAGTCACTCTCCAGCACTCTCTCCTGGCAAAGCTTAACATTGTGCCAACTGCAAAATGCAGGTGCTTATTTGTAGGACCCAGCCCCACCGTCACGTCAGAGCAGGCAATGGAAAGTGGATTCCAGGCGTGCACAGTGGGTTGGGAGCGAATTGGCACAGTCCAGCCTTTTGGATAGTCAGCTTCTCTTTGCATCCTTTGATACATAGTTGAACTTCCATATTAAAAAAAATGCTGTATTTTCACCTAACAAGGTACAGCTATCCTTATTGCAAGTGAAGACAATCCTCACTTTTTCCCCAAAATGAGAATATGCACACTCCCAATAGTCATTATATCTATTGCTAGCTATATTGATTACTCCTCAAATTTTGTCACTCTCCCACTGAATAGTCCATAATGTTAAGACTAGATAGTGAAGTTAATCTCTAACAACTTGTATATTTTCATAAATGGAAAGGAGAGAGAAGAAAATGGTTAGTATATGCTAATACATGAAATAACAAAAGAAAGTATGCAAAGCTACTACAGTTCTTATTTCTGTAATTGGTCACAAGACATAGTTGATATGTATGGGTCTTTAACACTTTCCTACTAATACTGGAAACAAGGCGAGGGTGTCTGCTTCCACCATTTTAATTCTATGGTATACTAAAGGTTCTAGCTGGTGCAATAAGGCAAGACGAAAGTAAAGGCATACAGATTAGAAAGGAAGAAGCAAAACAGTCTTTATTCATAGATGGCATGATTATTTATTTAGAAAATCCTAAGGAATCTACACAAAAAATCTGGAACTAATAAGCTAGTTTAACAAGGTTATAGGATACAATATCAATATGTAAACAACAGTTATATTTTGTATACTAGTAATGAACAATCTGAAAATGACATTAAGAAAACAATTCTATTCAAAATTTCATTGAAAATACATACTTAGAAATAAATATAACAAAAGAAGAGCATACAGGAAAGAATGTAGCAGTGCTACCTTTTTTTTATAAGTGCATCCCAGTTTCTTTTTATTGATTTTTTGTTTTGTTTTGTTTTGAAGTATGGAAGCTCTAGTATAAGATGTAGATTTTTTTTTAGGTTCAGTCTTTTTAGAGACTATCAAAAATTGCCAATGCCAACTATATTTCCAGTCATCATGGTAGGGTATTGGGAAAAGTTTTCAATTAGCAATAATCGCACCTCAGGGGAAAACCCATTGGCTATGATACTGTCATTGTGCAGAGCTGGCTGTGTAGATTTTTTTAAGCTTCATAAAAAAATGAATAAAAAACTCCTTTTGCATTCCATAAAAATTGACAGAAAAGCACCTGGCCAGATGAGCACAACAGTCAGCAGCCCCCCGACCCCAACCCCCACACCAGGGTCTCCATGGGATGGGGGGGGCAAGTCTGCTCAAGACACACTGAGGGCCACCTCTCTCCCAGAGCTGTCCCCTGTTCTCCCGCCCCCCCGCAACCCCATGTGTGTCCCAAACACACATGGAATCAGATTTCCAGTTTTTCTTCTTTCACACACAATTATTTCATAAAATTTTTTTGTTATGCATTTGTTAGACCAATGTAACAGGTGGGCAGGAAAGGGAGGCTGACAGTATTATTTTATGCTTATAAATGAGCAGGCAGTTAGGAGATGGCGGGGGGCCCAGGTGAACAGAAACCAATGGTCTTTATGGGAATATTGAGAGTTTCAATAGCAAAATGTGGTGAGAAACAGGCCTCAGAGCCAGAGAAGGGTGTTTATCGGGCTTTATTCTCAGGGAGAGATGGTACTGTGCCTTCGATGATGCAAGTTGTTATGTGACCTGTTGGGGAGGGAAGGGACAGGGAGAGTGAGCAGAAAACGAGTTTTCTAAGAAAGGAATCTAACGAGTGCACGGCGTGTCCAGTTAGCGTGAAGCAGAGGTTTAACACGGCTGCTTTCTCTTCAAAGCCTCCACCATGTTGTTCTTTGGAGCTTCTTGTTTTGTCTGCAAAAGTCTGCACAGACCTCAGCCCACTGACAACGTCCTTTGTTTTTCCAGAGTAGATCTCACTCAGCGCGCTTCTGATTTTATTTTCCAAGTCCTCCACCAGGCGCCTGATACCGGCTATGTGTGGGGAGCAGTCGCTCACAGTTTCATCTTTGTGTGTCTATCTGGTACGGCTGCCTCCAGAGTTCATGGTGCCAGGGCTGGATTTGCTGGGCTGCGGCCTATCACTTGTAATGGGTGGTGTGACGACTGGGTTTCTCCTGCACTCCCACCGCACGGGTGGAATCCCAGCAGCCTTTGGTCCCCTCGGATCCAGCTCCAGCCTTCTTTGTGAGGATCACTCTGGCAAAGCCACGACCCAGATCCCAGAGGTACACAGAGGAGACGCCGCCTTCAAAATGCAGGTCTCGGTCCTGGTCAAAGGCATTGCTGGCCTCTCCCTCCAGCTTTGTCAGCCAAGCAGATGGCATGGCCCCATCTTCCAAAGGAGGGTCGCACTTGTTACTCCATGGTGATCTATAGCAATCCCCATCTCTGTTGTAGTCACACAAAAGGTAATCCTTTTCCACCACCTTGTCTCTGCCCGTTTCCACCATCTGGTCAACAGAAGACAGATCTTCACATAGACCAGGAACCAGGTCGATCAGGTCGCTGAGGTTTTTCTCGATTTGCTGTGGAGGCAGGCGCCTCACTAGGTCCAAGGCACAGTCCAGCTGCTGATAACTCTTGGTGGTGGCGGTGGCTCTCTCCCAGCAGCAGGGCCCAGTGCCTCCACTCTCCCGGGTGCCCAGGAGTACAGCAGTGCTAACTGCTAATCCTCAAAAGACTCTGCTTACTAGTTTACGCTTGGGCTAGTATCTGGGAACCTGGATTTTAGAAGCGTTCCCACCATTTCTAGAACTGACCAGAGTGGCTCATTATACCTAAATTATTTGTACAAACAATATGGTTTACGCTGAACATCTGCTTTCCTTTTGGGAGTCTGGAATTTTCGTAGGCACCCGGCAGAGACTATGCAAACAGCCCTGTAGTGGGTTGAATGTTGGCCTCCCAAAAGATACATCTACCTGGAACTTGCAAATGTGACTTTCTTT